TCAAATTGGTTGGTTGAAGTGGAGGAACGTTTCGGGCTTATTGTGTGATAGAAAAGTAACGTTTAGACTGAAAGGAGAATTTATAAGATAGTAGTGAGTCCTGCAATGCTCTATAGAGATGAATGTTGGCATTTAAAAGAGAAAGCATAATACTAAGTTAAGTGTTGCCGAGATGAGAACGATTAGGTGGATGAGTGGCTTTACACTTAGAGACAAAATGAGAAATGAATATATCTGTGATAGGGTTGGTGTAGCTCCAGTGATGGACCAAATTAAAGAGATTCGTCTTAGATGGTTTGGTCACATTAAACGTCGACCGTTTGATGATCCGATTAGGAGAGTAGATGATTTAGAATCGACTTAAGTTAAGAAAGGTAGAGGTACACCTAGCAAGACTTGGGCTTATTGTATGAAAAATTATCTTAATTTATTAGAACTAAATGAAAATATGAAACTAAAAAGGACGCAATGGAGAAAAAGAATTCATGCGGCCCACCCCACGTAGTGGGATTAAGGCTTTGTTGTTGTGGTTGTTGTTGTTTGTTGTATACTTTGGTGGCGCATTCCTAAGTTGACAAGCTTTTCAAGTTTGTAAGGTTTCATAATGCCAAAAAGGAAAAATATGCTACTATCAATGTATTTGTATTTTTTTCTGCTTTTTAATTTGACTCCAGCTTAATGACATTCTCAATATAGAAGGTGTGCCTCAACTTTCAAATTTGTTAAAATCTATCTTATAAACGTTTAAAACACTCAAATTGATGATTAAAACAAAAAACAGAAAACAAAGTTAGGTGAGAAAATGATAACTTTAGGAAGATTTACATACATGCCATTTAATTTCTATGTATATACATATCTAACACCTAAATTTTAATTTTTACATATGTGCTATTTCACTTTTTTGAAGTTAAAATAGCAGTCTTTTTTATGTGATATGAAAGATTTAGGTGGAATAAATGTAAAAGGTAGTGTTTAGGTATTAGATATGTAAATATATAAGTATCAGGTGGTATGTATGAAAATAGCTCATAATTTTATCTAGCCCAAGTCTACACCGCTAATTAATTGACCCGATCGCACATCTTCAATTAAAAACATAATCAAAACATTTAAAAGCATCAGATCATTTCTGGAAAGCATGCTACAATCAAGTTGCCAGTAACATGTACATAAACTGCATGCATACCTAACAAAGTGTTGCACTATCAAGGCAGCAACATGTACAGAAACTGCATGCATACCTAAAAACGGGATGCACTATCAAGGTTGCGAGGATAGTGATAACTAAACCAACCTATTATTGCTTATTGGCTAATCAGCGGCTTGATCAAGTTCCAATGTTCAATGCTACTCTACTGATAAAGCAATCTTTCTCTACAAAGGTTCAAGGTTTATTGTTTGGGAAAATCTACATAATAATAATTCATATAGATACAATATGTAATTGTTTCAATAAAGAAAATTCGAACAACATTAAAGAAGGTTCCATAAAAGAAAACCTTGTAATTTAGCTGGAGGGTAAATCTCCAATGCTTCCAATATCCTCAACTCCAAGTCCACCTGCAGATCCTAATTTTGGACGATAGAACACCGGGAACTACGTTAATTCGATGAAAATTGAAAAATAAAAACAATTGATAAAACGACGTTATTAGAAAAACCTTCGGCAGAGAAGACGCCGAAGAGGGAGGAGTCTGGCCTGGAGAATGAACTGACAAGCCATCTTGATCCTCCTCTCCTCCCGTTTCCATCTTCTTTGATCTGGAATAAACCCTAATATTTAATCTAGGCGTGATAGCTCAAATCCCGACGAGGACAAAACCCGTAACGGTATCCTTCAGTTAAAAACAATTCTCAACAATAAGGGGGCTCGGGCTATTCGATGCTAGGAAATAGTCGCATCCGGGGATATGTATCGGGTGGTGTGTGTTCAGCTCTGTACTCATTTCATAAATACCTTATGGTGAAGAGTTTTAATAATCTACTGTAGAATAATTCTAATAACCACTTTAATATTGATGCAATAACCCCTTAAAAACATCATATGATTATTGGGGGTTATTGAAACATTATTCGGGGGTTACTGAAGCAGTTTACCCTGCAGTGTTATCTTAGGAGTTATTGTTGCGTTATTGAAACATTTATGGAGTTATTTTGCAGGAGTTATTGAAACGGGATCAAGTCATTATTGGATCAGTTCTTCGTGCGGTTTTATTGAAGGGTTATTGCGGTACTATTGGGGACTTATTGAAGTTATTCTGCGGGGGTTATTGAAATGGAATCACGGATGTTATTGGAATGGTTCACCGTGTGGTGCTTATTAGGTGGGTCCAGTGTAGTACACGTGGCGGTATATTACTGGAGTCTGCACGCAAAACTGTGTTTGCACTTAGTATGAAAAAAATTTTCGTGAAAGAAAAGTATTGATTTGAAAGTGAGATTCTAGTTCGTAGGTTTGTCTTGACGTGGAGTAGGGCGATTTTAGGTTTTGACCGACCCACATAAAAATTTTCTTGCGTACTTTATTCTCTATGTACTTTTAAATTTATAAACTTTTCTTAAGTTATTAGTCTTTTAAATTTTTTGTTAAAATCTAATATTAATTTTTTAGCACACCATTTCACCCGCCACCTCTTGGTGTATTGTAACCTTCAATAAACATGCAGAATTTAGATATTGTTTAACGTTTCAATTAGCTTTAGAAAATTTTGATGACATTTTACTCTAAATTGATAACTTTCACAGTCTTTTGAGTTCATCTCATTGTAAAATTTCAGTATAAAAATAAGTTTAGTAAGACTTTGAGTTCAAATGAGTTTTACTTCCGTGAGTTTCCAACTTAAAATCTATATCAAATTTATGTTTTGTTAAATGGATATATAAATGTTGTATCAATTTTCTTCCTATATTTAGACATTGAAGCTTATATATTTAAAAAATACATGTTAAAACATTGATAAAAAAAATGGTTGCATAACATTACAATTTAAAAATTAAGTGGCATGACCTTTCCCTAAACAACATTGTAGACTTTCCTCTTGAGTTTTTAATCAAATAAATTATCCTCAACTATACTTTCACAATTTTCTAAAGTTGACACGTTGATTGTAATAAAAATTGTAGGAAAACTTTACTTAAATCGCTTAAAATTTATTGTTGAAACTTAGTTGGAATTCGAAAATGCTATAATTGAGTACAAAACTTTGAAAATGTCATGTGGATCGTGCATATGTTTTTTTAACTAGAAATGAAGCACAAATTGGAGTGTTTGTGTGTTTTGTTGTTATATATTATATTATATATTCTTATCTGTGTCGATTATACATTTTATTTTTCTTTCAATTAGCATAGAAATTCATTTCAATATCTATCATGAGTATTAATTGCCAAAATGTTTTAACGAGACAACTTAGACATAACAATTTTATTATAATGATAATCAACGAAGCACGTAAAAGAAAGTGTCGCTTATATACATACCATACAGTTCTTATGTATTTACATTGTTAGAAATTCATGTTTGAACTTTATGTCACTCATTCCCAAAATACGTAATAGTCCTAAGTGTCAAAACATATTAGAAATTCATGTTTGAACTTTATGACACAAATTTCAAAAATACATAATAGTCAAGATCTTTTAAATTCATGCTTTTTACATATCCATAATAAAGTAACACATACCTGTATTCATGATGATAAGAATTGATCTTGAAGAAATTTGATTTTGAAGAGATGGAGTTTCTCTCTCAGATCCCTTGAAATTTTCTCTACTTTCTGAGTAACAATAAAATAAATATCATAAGTTATCATAAGTTATGACATAAATTATAAGTTAAGAAAATAAATAACTTAAGTTATCAAAATAAATCTGATAAGTTATTAAAATAAATGTGAGCCACAAATAAAAATTTACTATACATATCTAATATTTAAAATTTTTAAATTTTCATTTATAATAATTTGGTAATATAAATCTATGCATAAAAATGTTATTTTATTTTTGTAAATGTTATAAATTTCTCTTAGCAATTAACTATCCTAATATTATTTATAGTCATTTTTTTAAATGATATTGACATTTTCACCACAACTCTTAAAAGATTTTTATTTAAATTATTGAATGCATGTTGCTCTTGTAATTAAGTTTTTTCACTTTAAAATTAGGTTCCTCTATCTCAGGATATCGTTTGCTACAGTCTTATTGGGTTTTTATCTTTGAACAATAAAGTCACCAACTGTGATATGATGTTGAGCTCCAACAAACATTTTTATGAATAATCCTTCCAATTTAGAAAAATTCTTAATTGAGTCATTAGGCAATTCAACATACTAGTTAAATATTATCTTAACAAACAACTGACAAACTGGAAAAAAAGTAAAGCAAGACTTTTTCCATCATTATAATAATTAGCCCAAAAATATGTCAAATATAGTCTTGGGTTTCCATTTCCATCATATAGTCTGAAACATTGTCGTACAAACCTTTTGAGAAAATGTAGTTTAACAAACTCTTCAAGGTAAGATCTTCCTTTAGGCATAGATAAACCACCTCGGGTTTAAGCTAAGGCCTCCTTCACTTGTTGTTCGATAAGTGAGTTCGACGTTATAAGGGTAGAGGTTACGTCTGAACTATTTTTGGAGAATTTCTCCTTGGTTGATATTTTCTTTTGCATTATCAACTTAATGAACAGATTTAGGTTTCTTCACTTTTTCCATATACTTATATTGATGTTAAAATTTGATGTTGGATCACAGGTGTTGAAACCAATAATTTCTTCATCCTTTTTTCTAACATTTCTATCTTCTCATATATTTTTCTTAATTTGTTAGTTAGACATTGAGTTGTGTTCGGTAGGACACCCTCTTTAAATATAACATCTTGATGATGTGCTTATATTGGTATTAGAGCTTAGTTTTGACCTTCAGAAATCAAAGTCAGTATTTCTTCCATTCTTTTTTTTAATCTTTCTATGTGTTCATCCCTCTGCCTTAATTGACTTAAAAGATGTTGGATTGTGTGTGGTGCAACATCTTCCTCAACCATAATTTCTTAAAGATCAACATCATCTTATCACTCTCTTAGTGCAACTCTAGTTTTAACAACCATAATTGTAGCACTTTTTCTCAAAATAATCCAAGAATTCTTTCTATTCTTGATTTGTTTAATGTTAGCTTCTAATTAACTGAACACTTCATCAATAGGTTGACCATTGATATTTCCATAACAAATGGGATGTATTTAGGTTTCTTATTGATATCCATTTCTTCTACCTTGTCGATTTCCTCCTGATACTGAGGAATGTGAATACAACAATAACAATAACAACAACAACAAAACATTTATCCCGCTAAGTGGGGTCGGCTACATGTATCCTTTTTCTCCATTGTGTCCTATTTAATGTCGTATTTTCATTTTAATCTAATAAATTAAGATAATTTTTTAAGCAATATGCCTATGTCATCCTAGATCTAGTTCAACCTTTCTTAACATAAGTCAAATCTAAAACATCTACTCTTCTTATCGGACCATCAGGCGATCGACATTTAATGTGACCAAACCATCTAAGTTTGAATTTCTCTAATTTTGTCTATCGCTAGAGCTACACCAACCCTGACACAGATATATTCATTTTGAATTTTTGTCTCTAAGTGTAAAGCCACTCATCCACGTATTCATTCTCATATCGACATCACTTAACATAGTTTTATACTTCTCTCTTAAAGGTTAACATTCAGTACCATATAGTAATGCAGACCTCACCACCATCTTATAAAATTTTCCTTTTGGTCTAAGCGATACTTTTCTATCACACAATAGACCCAAAGCATTCCCCCAGTTCAACCAACCCAACCAACTTGAATTCTACTGTCCCCATCAATATCACCATCACTTTGAACAATATACCCGAGATATCTAAAGCTTTCACACCTTTTAATAATTTGATCACCCATAGTTACATTTTTGCCGCTAGAGCTACTACTACTAAAATTACATTCCATGTATTCAGCTTTAGTTCTACTCAAACAAAGGCCTTTAGACTCAAAGGTAGACCTCCATAATTCAAGTTTTTCATGAGCTTTTTCTCTCGTCTTATCCACGAGAGGGATATCATCAGCAAAAGGCATACTCCAAGGTACATCCTCTTGTAAGTGTCCAGTAAGACCATCCATAACTAAAGCAAAAAGATAAGGTCTTAATGTTGACCCTGTTGTAAATCCTCCTTCTGTTTGAACATAAGTAACAGTTATTGTATATATATCTTTAATGACTTGAATATAAGTCATATCTACACCTTCCTTCTCAAGAACTCTCTAAAGGAAATCTCTTGGAATCTTATCGTAAGCTTTTCTAAATCACTAAAAATCATATGTAAATACTCCTTATTATATATGAACTTATCCGTCAAACCTCTCAATAAATGTATATCTTCTATAGTAGACATGCCTAGCATAAATCCAAATTGATAATGAGAAATCTTTGTAATACATCTTCACCTATGTTCAATTACCCTCTCCCATAATTTTAAAGTATGCACATAAAGTATAAGTATGCACATCAACTTAATTCCTCTATAATTGGCACACTCTTGTGCATCCCTTTTATTCTTACAAATAGGAACCAAAATACTCTTCGTCCACTCCTCAGATATCTTTTTAGTTTTAAAATATTATCAAAGATTTTTTTAAGCCAAGAAACTCCAAAATCTTCTAAATAATTCCACACTTTGATTGGGATATCATCAAGTCCTACAGAATTTCCGCCATTGGTTTTTATTAAAGCCTCCTCAACTTCTTTTTTACGACTATAAAAATGAAAATTTTTATTATTATTAACGATATTAACATCACTAAGGCTGATCGCATTTTCCAAAACTTCATTAAAAATTTTATCAAAA